AGTGTGTCCAATTCTGAGCGCCACACTTTAGAAAAGATGCAGACAGACTGGACAGACTCCAGAGGAGAGCACCAAAAATGATAAAAGATTTAGAAAACCTGATCTATGAGGAAAGGCTAAAAAAAGCTAGCCATGTTTAGTCTTGAGAAAAGAAGACAGAGTGGACCAATAACAGTCTTCTAATATGTTAAGGGCTTTTATAAAGACAACAGTGATCAATTGTTCTCTGTGTTCACTAAAGGCAGGACAAGAAATAATGTGCTTAAAATCTGCAGCAAGGGACATTTAGGTTAGATATTATGAAAAAACTTTTGAACTATAAAGGTAGTTAAACTCTGGAATAGGCTTCCAAGGGAGGTTGTGGAATCACCAGCATCGAAGATTTTAAAGAAAAGGCTAAATAAACACCTGGTCAGGGATGGTCTAGATTTACTTGGTTCTGCCTCAGACTGGACTTGACTTCTCAAGGGCCCTTCCAGCCCTACACTTGTATGATTCTCTACTAAACAGATGACAACCCACCACTTGGTGTCTGACAGCAATCTGTGCATTTCTCTCTCACAGAAGCTACTGCCCACATTGTAGCCCCTTCCCCTCTGATAGGGTGACCAGACAGCAAGTGTGAAAAATCGGGACGGGGATGGGGGGGTAATAGGAGCCTATATAAGAAAAAGATCAAAAATTCGGGACTGTCCCTATAAAATCGGGACATCCGGTCACCCTACCCTCTGAAGAGATGCTAAAGGAGGGGGGGGGAGAGAGGGAATCCATCTCCCTGTATGGTGCTAGCATACACATCCCAGGTGGGAAACTGGCCAGCCAAGGCTTTCGAACCAAGGCTACCTACTGCCCACCACAGATCAAGCCTTAGCCAGGTGCAAAGTGCAGCCTCTTCCGGCACAGACACCACAGCTCCCCTCCCAGATTCAGGGGAGGGTAAACCAGGCTCAAAAACCACCTACCCATCAATCTGCCCGAGCCTGCACGGCTCAAAGCACGCTACTGAAGACACACACAGGCCTTCTCCTCCTCCCTGACACACGTGGGCGGGGGGTCCAGGCTGGGGGTCCCGGCCCACAAAAGGAGAGACCCCCCCCTTGCTGGGAGAGCTGCTTGCAGAGCACTAGCCGAGTGTGGGGAGGGGGGGGAGCAGCAGGGCTCCAGCCCCCCATACACCGACTTGCGGGGAGGAAGGGGAGGAGCTGCTTTCGCTTACTTTCTCCAGGAGCTCGGCGGCAGAGGAGCCTCCATCGCCGTCTTCCCCGGCCGGCCCCTCCCCGCCAGCCGCCCGCTGCGGGCCGGCTGGGGAGAACGGGGCGCTCCGAAACCTCTTGGCCTTGCTCTTGCCCATGGTGTCTGCCCGCGGATGAGGAGCGGCGACGCTGCCGCGCCGGGCCGGAGGAGAGCGCAGAGCCCCCACGTGTGCGGCCGCAGTCCGGCCGGCCCTGACCCCTGCGCAGGCGCCGTGGAGAGGAAGGAGCGGCTGGTTCCCGATCCGCTAGGGGGAGCTGCGCCGGCCCGGCAGCGGGCGCCGCGGCGTACAATAGCGCCCTGGGCTCTGCGCAACTGCAGGCTCTCTCGGCGCCCCAGCCCGGCTGGCAGCCTGCACGGGCCGGTAGCAGGACACCCAGCTGCACGGGCAGCGCACATCGCTTTGTGACAGACCAGGCCCAGCCCAGGCTGCTCCTTTACCGGGATGGAAAGAAGCTCAGCCGTCCACTCCTTCCTTCCGCGGCTGCCCCGGCTACATTTTTCACAGGTGAGAAGAGCCGAGCAGTGGTATCAACTCAGTTTGATCCCAAAGTGCACAATAGTGGGTGTTTTTCTTAACGCTCCCACTCCTGGAGTCACAGCTTCTAGGGTTTTTCTCTGATGGACAGCGCTGTCTACCCCAGCGCTCCTGTTGGTGTAATTGATGTTACTTAAGGGGGTGTTTATTTCACACTCACGTGACATAAATTATACTGACAAAAGTGCTAGTGTAGACATAGCTTATGTCTGCCTCAAATACCCTTAGGCTGCATGTACACTACCCCGGGGATGGACACTCTGGTGATCAATGCACCAGGGGTCGATTTAGCAGGTCTTCAGAGCACTCTCCAATCAACTCCAGTACTCCATTGGGAACGAGAGGAGTAAGATAAGTAGACAGGAGAGCATCTCCCATGGACCCAGTGCAGTGTAGACACCACAGTAAGTCAACATAAGCTACGTCGACTCCAGCTACATTGTTCATGTAGCTGGAGATGCGTAACTTAGATCAACTTACTGCGGTAGTGTAGACGTAGCTATAGGAATAGTCTTTGGTCTAGGTTCCTACAAACCCAATGAAGTTCTACTCAATGACTAGGGGCTCCTAAACTCTCCACTAAATACAAATAAATAATAAAACATTTTCTGAGTCTACTACTATACCCTATCAACTGGAGTAAACTGCATCTCATTTGTTCACAGCTGGATAGCACAAGTGATTAATGTAGATGGACACTTCTGCACAGATGTGATATTTTATTCAATGGACAGTTTGCTACATAATACAGCTACAAAATATGCACATAAACCGCTGCAACATCAGATACAAATTATTTGGATGCTTTTTTTAATCTGTCCCTAACACTTAGCTGCATATTTACTACAGGCTGTTATAGAGTAATGGAGACCAGGGCAGGACTTAAAGGAGGGTACAGGTTTTCTTTTAAATTCTGTACAACAGCAGCAAAGGCAGATTATTAAAGTAATCTAATAAATACTTTTGAATTACTGTCCTTGTGTTATATCCAACACTGGAACCACAGAAGGGAGCAGCACCCAATAGGAAATAAAAATATCCAGATTCTGACACAGCCTAGGCAGATTCTTCCTAAATTATCCAGAACTATTATCCTTGCCTTTTACATATGGCACACTGGTTTTATTTTTTGCAGCCTTTTGAAAGTTATCTGTCATAGTTATATGCAGTGTTGGTGTAGCCAGGTTGGTCCCAGGATATTAGAGACAAAAGGTGGGGGAGGTAACATCTTTTATTGGAACAACTTCTATTGGTGAGAGACAAGCTGTCGAACTTACACAAAGCTCCTCCTCAGGTCTGGTTTACACTACTGACCTATATTGGTATAACTGTCACTCAGGCATGTGAAAAATCCACACCCCTGAGCGACAGAGCTTGGTATAACTAACCCCCCATATAGACAATGCTTTGTCAACAAGAGAGCGTCTCCTGCCAACATAGCTACTGCTGCTCCGGGAGGTGGATTAACTATGCCAACAAGAGAGTTCTCTCCCATCAACCTAGAGTATCTCCATTAAAGCGCTACAGTGGTGCAGCTGCGCCAACAAAGTTTTAAATGTAGATGTGCCTTCTGTGTCACCACTAAATACAAGGTGGAACAGATTGTTTAACATAAGTAGTTAACACATTTCAAGGGCCATTCCAGGCGAAGTGGCCCGTAGTGGTGTATCTCATCAAAACCAATCAGTAAACTCTTGAATGAACTCACACAGGAAAGTGATGAACGACCAAAAAACACCTTGGGCACTTTACAGCTGCACTGATGTAGCTGCTCTAAGCCAATGGGCGAGTGCCCTCCCATTGACTTAACTACTGTAGTCCCCACGAGCAGCTGTAGCTATGTCAGCGGGAGAAGCTCTCCCACCAACATAGTGCTGTCCACACCGTTGCTTATGTCAGTGTAACTCAGAGCTTTGTCTACACTACACAGCTCCTGCCAACAAAAAACTTCCACCCGCAAAGAGCGGCATTTGTGTTTGCTCTCCTGCTGACAACGCGCTGTTCACACTGGCGCTTGTCGTGGCAAAACTTTTGTCTTTGGGGGAGAAGGGGGGACAAAAGTTTTGTCATTCAATTGCCAGGGTAGACATAGCCTTAGTCATTCAAGGTGGGTGATTTATTCATACACCCCCCAACTGATATGTCTGTATAATTTATAAGTTGTAGTGTAAACAAAGCTTTCATCACCTGTGGATGAACACTTCACAAAGCCATCACTCTGTAACTGACCCATCAGTCCTCATCCTCAATGGAAACCTTCACAACACTTTCAAGAGATGAGCCTGGGAGCTAAATTCATAACTTTGCTGGATGCTAAAAATCATGGACTAAACCGAGACACTGGATTTATGGCTTCTTACAACAAGCTGTAACCCAACACTAACAACCCCTAAAACTAGCTCCCCGCTACCTTTCTGCACTCCCTCCCCACGACTGGACCGGTGTTAACAAGCCACTTCACCTTGAATGGCCTTTGAAATGTGCTATTTATGCTAAACAATCTGTTCCACCTGTATTTAGCTGTGACATTTCCCAGACCTGAAGAGCTCTGTGTAAGCTTGGCTATGGTCTACACTACAGTACTTACAGTGGTGCAGGAGACCCTCTAAGCTCTCCTGCCGACATAGCGCTTAGATCAGTATAACTTATGTCGCTCAATGACTTGTTTATACTGCGCTACATATTATACACTGAAATGTAAGTACACTATTTATATTCCAACAGATTTATTTTATAATTATATGGTAAAAATGAGAGAATTTTTCAGTAATAGTGTGCTGTGACACTTTTGTATTTTTACATCTGATTTGGTAAGCAAGTAGTTTTTAAGTGAGGTGAAACTTGGGGGTATACAAGACAAATCAGACTCCTGAAAGGGGTACAACATTCTGAAAAGGTTGAGAGCCACTGATTTAGGCATTCCAAGGAAGCTGGATGACCTGTAGATCATTAGTTCAAATCCAGACCAGTTTGGAAGGGACTAAAAGTAGTTTCCATCTAAAGCAGCAGCGCTTTAATGTTGCTTGTGTGGCACTAAAAAAAGCATCTCAACGAGGGGCGCAGCTCCCAGCGCTGGGGCACTGTCTACACTGATGCTTTACAGACCTGCAACTTGCTGTGCTCTGAGGGCTGTTTTTTCACACCCCTGAGCAAGAAAGTTGCAGCGCTGTTAATTGCCAGTGTAGACAAGCCCTGAATGGAGATAGAGACAATACCTGCTCTAGGCATGAGAAGGTGCCTGGAACAGGGTTGAGGTAGTCTGGTGGATTATTGTAGAGGGACTATGGGCTGCTGCTTTCCATGCTGTCCCTATTTTGGTGACATCAATATCCAGAACAACAAACATGACATTTCACAAAAAAAACAAAAGCCATACTTCCGTGACTGGAGTCTTCAGCTGTTCATAACTAAAGTACATAACTGTTTAGCTTTTGTCACTTCCCATCCTATATCTGCACATTTGTCAATTTACAATACAAAAAAACCCCAAACATACTATTATATATAAAGTATTTATTTAATGCACATATTTACCTACAAAATTTACATCAATTAAAAACAATGGAAGGACAGAAGTATAAAACCTCTGGAAGAGACTTTAGGAGCAAAGGATTTTATTGCCTCAGTTGAGTGAAAATTTAACATACATGAAAGTCAAACTATGCTCACTTTAAGAGGCAGCCTTTCTAGTCTTGTCTGTAGTGAGAGGTTACTGTGCCGGCAATAGCTTTGTGTTTTATGCTGACTTATGCTCAATTAAATTTTAAAAAAATCTGAAACAGGTAAAAAGGCACCTTCAACACTTAAAATTAAACTGTTATGATTACTGTAAATATTTCAAGAACTATTGTACTGTGTATACATAACAGCCACACTTAGTTTCTCTTAACACTTTAGAGAGTTTTATTAATTTATTTGTGGCACTGATCATATATTTCCGTTATCAAATTATTTGAATCCAAAGTTAAATATTTGCAATACTAGTTTCATGGCCAGATTATCACAGCATAAAATCCACTCTTAAAACAGTGTGATTATGGAATTCAGATACAGTACAGAACTTTTATAATCTGAAAGACGTAAGTATATTTAAGAGTTTTTAAAAAGTTAAAATCATTAAAAACAGGTTGTACTGTGAATTAGATGAAAGCACTGAACTAAGGATAACCACAGTGAAAGTGGCCGAAGTACTGCATGTAGTTAGACAAGTGATACTTTAACATACTTGCAATATTCTTAAACATAATAAGACCTTTTTCCCCACACAATAGATTTCTCTTTTAAGTCTCTTTTGTTTGCTGATTCCAAAAATATTGTAACCAGGAATGAAAAAGACAACTGTAATTAATAAAAAGCTCTGGGAATGGCAAATAAGCATCCCTTTAAATACTGGTTCATGAGAACAAGAATTCACACAGCATGTATTACTCTTTGCTTAACATTGGCATTGATTTGCTATTTACAGTAGTTTGCAAAAAACACATTATAAAAAACAAACGAGGTTTGGTTTCCAAGTTTAACTTAGTAACCAATTAACATACTTCACCTGCATGTTTTGCTCTACTTGAAGAACAAAAGTGACACTAATACTGAAAAAGAGGTAATCAAAGGTAGCAAAAGCACTGATAACATGAGGATAGTCAAAAGAGAATTTAGACAAATATGCCAGACGGTAATATTGCACACTTTCACTGTCAACTGTAAATAAGACTCACTCCTAGGCAACTGAAAACCAGTCCTGTTTGGCTTTTTTGTGCCACAGTACCTTCAGAAAAGGTCATTTTTGATTTCCATAGCAGTGGACAGAGTTGAAGGAAGATCGCGATTATTGAACATGGGGCCTAGGTTTCAAAATTAATTTTCCAGTCTGCAAAAGAAAAATTAAAGTTCAAACAAACCCTGAAATTTAACATAGCCTTACTACAAAGGTGAATGTTATCTGTGTTAATATCTCTTTAGTCTGCAACAACAGGGGTGAGAACTAAGGGTTTGCATCCATGGAACCATTAAGTAACTTGTAGCTCACATTTTAACCATACATTATTTGTAAAAATGTAAATATTCACTCTTAGGCTGTCTACCCTTTAACAGCATGTAGAGTACAGGCACTACACGTGTAGCTACACGCTGCAGTGAAAGGCTCTGGCAACAGGGAACTGCCAGAGCTTTTCACTACTGCTCCTCCCCGCTAGGGCCTTTCCCTGCAGCAGAGAAAGCTCCAATATCGGGATACTATGCTGCTATGTGGGAGGCACCGCTCGGGCGGTTCATGCAAGTAAGCCAGTCTATACACCTAAGCCTTGTCCCACCATCTACATTGCTATTTATACCTGTGCCATCTGGGAATGCAATGTCTATTCAGAAAGAGAGAGTAATTTCATCTTTTTTGCATTTATTCCTGCCTTAAACATGTACATGTAGTCAGTGAGACTAGAGTCACTTACATCATCGCAGGACATATTATACTCTGCCAAGACTGTTCGACATCGGGCTGCTATGCTGTGTGGATTTCGTCAAAGAAAAGTACTAAACAAAGATTTTATGTGGGCTGCAGTTACAGTAAGAATTACCTCAATTTTCACTTGACAAACTATCAAAGGATACATTGATGGTGCCACCACTCTTTTGTGTATGCCAGCAAAGAACAAGCCTATTAGAGTAATACAGCTAATTGTGAAGAATGGATGATTCCACAGTGATGTGAAAAAGGACACCTAGGAGAGAAATAAAATTATCTTGAAGAAAAATTATTAAAAGATTCCATGATTGAAGGGACATCATCAAGCTGGAGACTAAGTATTTCAAACCTGATGTTTAGGCCACTAATCTAAGCTGGAATAGATCTCTTAAAAATTCCCTTGTTACTCAGAACTTACTCCTTCTTTGTAACCCTGCTACTCTTCACAAAAAGTGCTTCTGCCAAACATCTTCCTAATGAATATCCCTTCTGCTTTCAGATATTTTGGAAGGTAACAGAGAAAACAGTCTCTGATTTTCCTGGGAGAAGTCCCAATTAGAGCAGCTGCCCTATTAAGTGATATATGCTGTTTAAGAAAAAAAACCTAAGTAAAATTTTAGATCTGCTATCCATGACCTTATCCCCTGTAAAATGAGGACAAAATAGAGTGCTAACATCTGAAGAGAGTTTTTAAAACTGTGAGATCCAAGGATATTTAATCTTCAGCTTCTGATTTGAAAACGACATTTCTCATTGTAGTAGTGCTGCTTGAGTCTCTGTAATTAAGCTAAATTTTTGTTTTAAAGTTCCATGGGAACAGTCTAAAATTAAAAAAGTACTTTCCTATTAGTAACACAAAAATAATCAATTGTTCATCACTCATCTCATATTTTTCCTTCCACTTCTGAATAGAATATAATAGCTCTACCTCAGTTTATTGCTAAGGTGTAAAAATGAAAATAAGTTAAGAATCCTTTATCAGTTTTCTTCAGTTTGGTGGTAAAGTGAATCTCCGATATTCCACTCAAAACTCAGAAGTTCTCTTGCACCATATAAAGTTCATTGAACAACTATACTTTCAGATTCAGTTTCACAGAATGTCCTATAAAATCTGGACATCTGGTCACCCTAAGTCTGAAATTTAGAATACCAAGCCTCAAGCTACTCCACCCACACAATTTAGGAAAAAAATCACTTTGATCATCTTAGATATTCACGTTAAACAAAAACAAATGCATAGCTGGTGTATGCATATCTAGGGTAACAAATTTTAAATTGTCCCACTGCTACAAAAAGTTATTTCAAGGAGAAAGGGGGAGATATTTCCAAAGTGCAGAGGTACATAAGAAAAAACTTTTAGGACTAGTTAACTTGCTAGTGTTCTCAC